CATGGAAGAGGACTTTTCACTCCATTGTAGATCAGTTTTTTTAAGATGTTCTAGTACAACATATCATTAGACTAAACACATCCCAAATTATAAATAACATATCCTCAAGAATCAGTACAAGGTACATGGCTAACTAGTAAAATATTCAGTTTGCTAAAGCTATTCTGTTGTTGTGACAATATATATACATTGGCTTCACATTTAAGAGAATGGTGGAATTAGGAGTTGGATTCATGGTATTTAAAGAAGAGAATAAAAAAATAAGACTTACCAGTAAGCTTTTTCAGTTGTCAGCATTAAATATATTCACACAGTCATGGGCTTTATCACAAAGATATGGTAATATGTTACAATTGTCAGTTGGAATGTATCACTGAAAGTTATTGCTTTATCTCATAAACAATCCACTTAGCCACAATGGGCTAGTTGGTTTACCATAACTAGTGGCCATGGTTTAAAGAAGCTCTATTTTGTACTTGCCATAATCAAAATTATAATGATTGGAGTTGATAATAAACCAATGGTTTTAAATAAGCTTTTAATTATATTTTGTACTAGCAATAATCAAAATTATAATGATTGAGATGATAATAACCCAACAGTACCATATATCTTGGGTTTGTAATAATTGTGTCAACATATAAGAACGTGGGGCTTATGGAATCAGAAAGTGGCACACAAACTCAAAATGGACTGATCACGTTGAGGTTTGAATGGATGTGAATGGAATATTTATCCCATTTCACTATTTATTACAAGATTATGTGCAGGGTAGGTAAATTGAGTTGGGGTATTTGAATTCCAGCAGAAACGCGTAGATTATAGACTTTGAAAATAAACTACATTTTTGAACCAATTTATCATGAATTCGCACTCAATCTCTGAGGTTGGTGATTTTATGGAGCACTTAGCACACTTTTTCATGTGACTGCTCGAGTGCACAGCCAAATTGATCAGAAGTGTTGAAGCAATTGCAACAATGGCCTGATGTTGTCATTGCAGATAAAGAAGTGGAACTCAATGAATTTGCTAAACTTGCCCAAAACCATGTATAGTTATGTGGAAGTAAAATATTAGATGTCTGCATCTGATGGACACGAGGTAATTAATATCAAGTGGATACATTGATATGTGATAGCTAACTTTGGTCTAGCAACACTAATGATGAAATATGATGTCAAATGGGAACTTGAATTGATTGCTTCAAACATAGCAGCAGTTGTGAAGGTAGAGTGTGCTATGGCAGGACTGTAGCTAGGCATGTAAACGGATTGGATTTGGATTGGATTGACCATAATTCATATCTAATTTGTTTAACTAACGGATTATCGAATTCGAATTGCTAACGGGTTATTAGATTGAATTTTCTAATCAATATTTCAATCTTTGGCTCGACTTCAGACTTGGATCAGATTCGGATCAAAATTGGATCCGTTGACATGTCTAAGGTTAGTGGAGTAGAGAGTTGTTAATATAAAGAATGGTGCATTATATAACTTTGCAACCAAATGAATCTAATAATAGAGAACTAATATATATAGTATATTGTAACATATATATATATATATATATAATTTTAATTGGATTGGATTACTGTCGGATTAGAATATCTTAAATTCATATCCGATTTGATAAAGTACCGAGACTTTTGGAGAAACTAATAATTAATATGATATCGGAGACGAAGATCTCGAGTTCAAACTGAGGCTTTTGAAAAAACTGATAGTTAAAGGGTTCTATCAAAACTAACATAATAAAACAGAGAAGTGGTTTTCTTCCACGTAGTATATGAATTTGTCATAAAGATGAGAGAGAGGCCTACAAGATCAACCAAATCAGATATGTAAAGATAACTAAAGATAGAAGAGAATATACGGTTATAGATAGTCCAACCATGTATACCTTGACATACACAGTGGGTGGACAAACATTATTAGGAAATGCCTAACATGAGTACAATAGATTAGGTTAAGCCTCATTAGAGTACAATAGATTGTGTTAACTTTTTTATGTCATCAGTCATCACCATTATGTTAAAATAGTCCCAAGATTCTCTATTTTCATACCCCATCTTTCTAAAAGTTAAAAAAGCTGCCTTCACACCTAGATTGTTCTCTTTTGATTCTTTTCATGGTTTATAGACAAAGTTTCACCTACTTTGGGATTCTCAATTATTTGCTGTATTTATTTAACATGAAATGATGAAAGAGTGACCTCACTCAGTGATTCGTGATCGTGCTGCGTCTATCACCAAATTAGAATAATTTATATTTAGTGAATACTATATACATATTTATGTGTATATATTTTAATAAATATGAATAATATATTCAGAGAGATAAAAGAAAATTCAATAAATTAATAATATCAACAATAATAATAATAATGCTAATAATAAAAAAAAATTAAAACAGCAATAAACTAGACTTTGTTTTTGGAAAGCTAGCAAACCAGTTGACCATTGATCTACGTAAGTCCAAGTAAGAGACATTGACTACTACTTTTTCAACTGGTGGGTGGTTGTTTGTCGTTTTCTTTTCTTTCAGTAATGCTTTCACATTTAAAAATCAAAAACTAATTTTAATTTAAAAGCTGCTTTAAAATTTTAGTCAGTTCAAGAGGATATTATCGTTGTAAAAGCTAATTATGAAAGTAACAATGTACAGTAAAAGAAAAAGAATCCAATCCTATTAAGAGAACCACACAACAGATAAATTCAATTCTCAAAAAAATCAAATCAACCCAATTATACAAATTAGTTTAGAAATAGTTGTCACAGGTGAACAGTGCAAAATCAACCCAACTATATAAATTAAAATAGAATTATATGTCACAGGTGAAACAGTGCAAAATTATATTTCCATTTTTCACAAAGTAATGAATGCTGAATCGCTCCACCTAATTATGTTGCTATTTGCACTTTCTGATATGACTTGAGAGAGAGAGAGAGAAAGAGAGATTGTGACATTGAAAAACAAAATGAAATTTCGAATCACATGTTACGTGGACTGTGATATTTCATCTATTTTTTTTTTAAAAATAGAAGATGGAGATTTGAGGTCTACATGTAGAAAATGAGTAGGTGAGTTTTTTTGTCAATAAAAAAATATTATATATTATATTTTACTTTAAGGCAAATGCTGCAATAATTCCTCTTTTTTTTTTTCTTTTCTTTTTTCAATTGTCTATTTTATAATATGTATAGAGAGAAACATATAAAATATACAAGCAGGGTGGAGCCTTCAGGCGGCATAGTGGGAATTTTTTCAAAAAAAAAAAAAAAAAAAAAAAAAAAAAAAGAATAAGAAGAAGAAAAAAGGAAAAATAAATAAATTTTTAAGGAAACAAATTAAAGCAGGATTAAATAAGGTAAATTTTACCTTTTTAAAAGGATAATTAAAGAAATTTAAAGAGTAAAAGAGAAAAAATAAATTTAAAAAATTTTGAAAACTAATAATTTTAGGAAAACATAATATAAAAATTTCTATATATATATGTGCAAAAAATAAAATAAAATTCATATATACATAGGGCGGGGTCAAGGCAGGGGGCACGTGTTCCCTAGGCATACACTGGCTTCGCCCCTGTATACAAGCTCTAGTTCTCCAAGTACAGATGTTTATTATGATAGAAAATGAGAATTGAATTTAATACTACAGTGTAATTATGGTTTCAAAAAAAAAAAAAAAAAAACACAAGCTATTTCGAACACTCTTATTATGCCATCCCTAGCCAAGTCTAAGTTGGGAGTCGGCTGTGGGCATAAAGTGGTCATAGGGTTAGTTGAGAGAAGAGATAGTGCATCAAACAGTTTGGACTTTGAACCTACTATTATTGCTCCATTAATGGAGAGTCCTAAAGTCAGGACTAATGAACCCCACTCTGCACATTGTCACATGAAAATCTACAAAATCACACCAACAATGCTTTAGAAACAAAAAAAACTAGTCAATTCATACTGTCTCTGTTAAAGGGTACTATGATCACCAGAATTCACGCCTAAATTTCTAGCAGCATACGACCACCAATTCAATGTCACAATCACTAGCAGAAGGTTTTGGATTTTATAAAATCCATGAAAACCTGTATGGCGTTAGAATAAATTCATTAAAATAGTGTTTATTGAGGTTTTATATATGCATAATTGAAGCATCGCAAGTGTCATGTTTGAATGATTGAGTTGTTTTTCCTTATCCCTGTCAACTAATTACTACCTTGACATTCTTGTCTTGAAAAAAAAAAATAATAATAATAATAAACAAATAAATAGTGAAGCATCAACTAAGTACACACTTGATTGCTTTGTGAGAATATTTTGTAGAGTCCGTTGAGGACTTTTTATGACTATTTATTTAACTTAACGTTAATGAACCTAGACTTAATTTGCACATAAATAACATATTAAATAAACTAGATTAATGACATTAGGTGAAAAACCTATTATTAACCCTTCATTAAAACTTCATTAAGACAGTGTAAATTCAGTAATTTAATAGATAAAAGAAATTATTTTGAAACATTAATCCAACACATGGTTTGGATGCATCACAATTGTCAATGCAATGCAGGCACGACCATCAAACTCCTCACCACTGTATTATTGCCTTGACCACGGCCAATACTCTGAATTTCCCAATTAAAATTATTGGGTTGCTTCTGAAATTAATGAGACAATAATAAATATGTAATTTGAAATTAATTAGAATTCCTTATCTCCTATGCTATGTTATCTTTCTAGACACAATCCTATTTCCATTTTTTTTTTTTTTTTTTTTTTTTTTTTTTTTATTACCTTTTTATTTTGAAAAAAAAAAAAACACTAGAATTGGTCTGTCTAAAAAGTATATCAAAACTTGGAACCTAGACATTATCTGGAGCCTCATAATTCTGAGGCACTAACCCAAAGGGATTTGAACACTATTGCACATGATGTTAGCATTAGGTCATATGAAGTCATCAAGAGACCATACAAAGTCCATAAATAAGGCTTCACAATCACTTCTCTTTTGTACACAAAACCGAGAAACAACAAAAAGAAAAAAATGTTGTCTTCAAGCTCTGCCATACTTTCTCTGCTTATACTACTTCTATCAGCTTCATGTATTGCTTCAGATTCAATTCAAGACAGTTTCTACAGATGTCTCACCCTCAACTCTCAGCTATCTTTCCCACTCTCCAATGTATTCTACACCCCAAACAATGCATCATTCACTCCCTTCCTACAATCTTCTGCCCAAAACTTAAGGTGCTTGGTGCCTTCTGTCCCAAAGCCTGAACTGATCTTCACCCCAATGCTTGAATCTCATGTCCAAGCAGCTGTGATTTGCTCAAAAGAGGTCGGTGTTCAGCTCAGAGTCCGGAGCGGAGGCCATGACTATGAAGGCATCTCATATATATCAGAAGTGGAAACACCATTCGTGGTGGTTGACATGTCTAAGCTTCGATCCATCATGGTCAATATTGAGGACAACAGTGCATGGGCTCAGACCGGAGCAACCATTGGCGAAGTTTACTATAGAATTGCCGAGAAAAGTAAGGTCCATGGCTTCCCAGCTGGACTCTGCACCAGCTTAGGTGTTGGTGGACACATTACAGGAGGCGCATACGGTGCCATGATGAGAAAATATGGCCTTGGAGCTGACAATGTCATTGATGCACGAATGGTTGATGCTACTGGGAAAATACTTGACAGAACATCCATGGGAGAAGATTTGTTTTGGGCCATCAGAGGGGGTGGAGGAGCTAGCTTTGGTATCATCCTTTCATGGAAGATAAAGTTAGTTCCTGTTCCGGAAACTGTGACAGTTTTTACAGTTACTAAGACCTTGGAAGAAGGCGGAACAAAGATCCTCTACAAATGGCAGCAAGTTGCAGACAAGCTCGATGAAGATCTCTTCATTAGAGTCATCATACAACCGGCAAGTACCGGTAAGAAAGCTGATCAGAGGACTATAAGCACTTCCTACAATGCAATGTTTCTTGGTAAAACTGATAGACTCCTAAATATAATGAATAAGAACTTCCCGGAATTGGGGTTGCAGCGAAAGGACTGCAGCGAAATGAGCTGGCTTAAATCGGTGCTATACATCGCCGGCTATCCAAGTACTGTACCCCCTGAAGTTCTACTCCAAGGGAAGTCAACATTCAAGAACTATTTCAAGGCCAAATCAGACTTTGTGAGAGAACCAATTCCTGAAGATGGCCTAGAAGGGCTCTGGAAAAGGCTCTTGGAAGAGGAAAGTCCATTGGTGATATGGAATCCATATGGTGGAATGATGGGAAATATTTCAGAGTCTGAAATTCCTTTCCCTCATAGAAAAGGTGTCATATATAAAATACAGTACCTAACACTCTGGAACGACGCAGACAGTGACACGGCGGCAAAGCACGTGGATTGGATTAGGAAGCTTTACAATTACATGGCTGCTTATGTTTCTTTGTTCCCGAGAGAAGCATATGTCAATTATAGAGATCTTGATTTGGGGATGAACAAGAAAGGTAACACAAGTTTCATTCAGGCAAGTGCTTGGGGTAACAAGTACTACAAGAACAACTTCAACCGATTGGTAAGAGTGAAGACCAAGGTTGATCCAGATAACTTCTTCTGGCATGAACAGAGCATCCCAACTCTTCCATCAATGACCAAGAGAAGAGGGAGGAAAGGATAGATAATCTAGAGATGGAATATATATATAAAGCACTATCTGCAGTTGAAGCACTTCTCTTTGTACAAGATAGTTTTGGCTTTTATTAATAGGAATAAGAGTGATGTAGGATGGGAAGTATCTCCCTCAGTTAATGGTATGTACTCATGAGAGCTGTGTGTAGATCAAGATAAGAAGTGTTATTGTTTGTGGTTTATTATACATATATGGCTATATACATTCCATTAAATAGTATATTTAACTTAAAAATAAATAAAAAAATAAAATAAATAAAAACTCAGTTCACACCATTCTCTTGATTAAAATATTAGACCCTCATTTAAGTGTTGACTCAATCAGCAACAATATTTACTTACAAAACCAACTTCAAATTTCATAGAATTCTCCATCTCTTCTCTCTCATTTTGCTTTACTCGATTCACCACCTCACTTCTTCTGTAGCCAATCTAGACTCTTATATTCATAGTATGTGAACCAAACATAACATTGTTGGTAGACCTCAGAATCCAATATATTTGTGTCCACTATCTGTCCCTCAGAGGTGCAACTTGGGCAGCCTAACCCAGCCCAACCCGAACCCAGCCCGAGAATTTTGGAACTTGGGTTTTTAAATTCACAAATTGGGCTCAAATCGGGTTGGGCTTTTTCAAAACCCAACGTGTTCAGGTTGGGCTCATCCTCGACCCAAACCCAACCCAAAACCCGAAATTTAAAAAAACCTTCAACAACATCTTTGGGTTGAGAATTGTGTTTTTCTTTCTTGACCACACAAAATAAGTCCTTGCTCACCCATGCAGAATGGATCTTAGTCATTACACATTATTGTACAAATTGATTGTTGTAGCATACTCAAGCTTGTCAACATATCATCCACTGGTATTTTACATCTGAAATTATACACCCACTCATTAGTATTTCTTCACAGCTCACAGGGAAGAAGGTAGTGGAAACAAGGTTCAAGCCCATTCTTCAAGCCACGAACAGAGGTTACAGAGTCTTTTCTTATGTTGCAGGGCCAACATAGAAGCTGTTGAGAAAGCACACCACTATAAGGACATGCACATTTTGCTCTACACAGAGAGGAACAATAGTTTTCCTAATATTGCACATACATCATGCTTTCAGAAGTAATATATGAAAGAGTACAGTGATCTTATCCTTCTAATAGTAAGTATAAGAAAACAACCTAAAACAATAGAGAAAAAATGAGTGGCTTTTTCCTTTAAACAACAAATTAGTCCAGATTCTGCAATTCCTTCTATACAAACTCTTCGTTGTTCACTGTAAGCAAATAATAACAGTAGTAGTAGTAATAATAATAATAATATAGGTAAAAATAAAAATGAGCATTAAAGTTGACTTTGTTTTTGGTAAGCAAGAATTAAACTGGGCTAATCATCTACAAAAGTCTGAGCAAGAGACAATACCAAAAAAACAAAAAACATAACTAATATTTTTGCAACTACTGGGTGATTGTTTGCCGCTTCTTTTCCTTTCACATGGAGGAAGTTTTAAAATGAATAGTCAACTCAAGGGTAGTTGCCAACCAGTGCCAACCTATGAATAGTTGTAACAATAATAATAAAATACTTGCTATAAAATAAAAAACAAAACGAGCAATATACTTGAATTTGTTTTTGGTAAGGAAGCATTAAACTTGGCTAGTCACCTTCACAAGTCTAAGTAAGAGACAATATAAATAAATAAATAAATAATAAAAAACTAGAATTTTTTTTTTTTCTCAGAAAGTAATAAAAAACTAGAATTGTCTCTCTCAGAAGTAGATCAAAACTTTGAACTTAGACTGTAACGGCCCAAAACTGATACCATTTAAAAAAAAAAAAAAATCGGCATGACCTCCCCTAAAAATGGGCCTACCACAACCTGTTTAAATACCTTTTTAACCTGTCCCAGCACAACCCGTCACATTGATATCAACTGAGTCTCAACTTTGTCAAGGTAGTCATCTGTTACCATCGGATCCGCACCGCCTTTGAACATAATCGGCATCAACTGAGAAAACCCCTTAATGATCTTAAGTCGCTTTTGAGCTTACGTCTCCTCAACTGGAACTGTGGGCTGTGGTGCCGACTGCGACTGAGCAGCAATCGTTGCCCCACGACATTTTGCAACAAACGATTCAACTCTAGTGTCACAGAACCTTCACCCACTTTGACAGGTGCTTCAACATTATCCCTCCTTGTGGGAACAACTCTCAGGGGAATCAAGTCCCTAAGAAGTGCGTCCTCATCATTTAGCTCCTCTGGATTGGAGCTGGAGCTCTCGCCAACATCACCCCTAGTCGATCTAGGGCCAACTTCCCTGATTTCCTCACGCCGTGACATCGTTCTATAAAACAAATTAAGGAAACAATTCAATAACGATAATACTAAGGTCCAACCGTGAACAACCCAACGCAAAAAGATACTGTACAAACATTTAGCATGTAATACCATGCAATGAACACATTAATATAAACATATAACTACGTAAGCAAGTAAATAGTTAAGCATGCTTTTCTTTTTTCTTTTTTCTTTTTTCGTTTTTTTTTCACTTAGCAAAACACTTTTGCAAATAAGAAAATAACAATGCAAATGACTTCCTAGACAACCCTATGTAGGCCTCTACCCGTTGTCCTAATGGTTTTCGAACCATCGCTCCGATACCAAATTTGTAACGGCCCTAAACTGATACAATTTTTTTAAAAAAATTCGGCATGACCCCCCCTAAAAATGGGCCTAGCACAACCTGTTTAAATACCTTTTTAACCTGTCCCAACACAATAAACATAAAATATATATTCCAGCATCCCTTTCATCCATTCATCATACCTTAATTTAATGCATTCTATAGTGGTACAACCACATACTATATCATCCAGATAGCATAATTACAGTCCCAAAATACAAGATTAATATCAATGTCCATATTTTACAACTTTTAGACAACTCATACAAAAGTTACGGCCCATAGGTACGATTATAATATTAAAAGTCCATAAGTCGTCGTACCAAAATACATTATGCTTAGTCTTACAAAAATAGTGAGGCCCAAGTACAAGAACAACAAAATAAGATCCTAATCCATACTAAGTCTGTGGTAGAATGTCATCCGCCACTTCTTTCCCGTTTCTTGAAAAAAATTAGTAAATAGTAGGGTGAGCATAAAGCTCAGTAAGTGACACTTAAGACACAATTCTTGTGTCCTTGTGAATCCAAACAAAGCATAGGCCAATGGGAAATAGGGATCATGCAATATAGAGAATTAAAACAATATGCACATCAATTCCAATTATAAACCATGCAGTGCAATGAAATGCAATACATGCTAATGTCACTCCCCATTTTCATTCACAAAACCATCACTTTTAAATGTTAATACAGCCCGCCCTTTGGTAACCTCGCCGCGACACGAGAGGAGGATTGGCTATCGTTCCTAGACCTTTGGTAACCCCGCAGCATCATCAAGGGGCCCGAATAGCTTAACCACGCTAGGGCGACTCCCTAGTCCCCTCTAGGCTACATTAACCTCCGGCTCGTTGGTAACCCCGCAGCGACCGAGTTTATCAAAACTATTTCACAAAACTCTTCTCCCAAAATTTCCCCCATTTTCATTTCAAGACAAATTCTCTCATTTCATGCATCCCAATGACATGTGCATGGATGTACATATAATCTCAATATTATGACAATGGGAAATTTGGCACAATCTAAATAAACATGTTCTCATTAGTCATTTTCAGCATGTTAACACATAGTGGGCATGATAAAACAACATCTAAACATACTTTACACATGAAACAAGTCATATTCAAGATCTTGAAAAATTCTCTAGACATCATTCATATAATCATAGATACAATTAACTCCCAATTAAACATGTTTGACACAACAAGGAGGTGTAATTCATAATAGAACAAGAAAGGAGTGGATTAAGATGCTCCTACCTCAAAATGAGCAAAATCCCTAGAAATGGGTTCTTAAATTCGAGCTCCCAAAGAGGACCAAAAGCTGGAATTTCTGGTACTAGCACGTAGAGCTCGTCGTGCTCATCGTTTTGCCTCAAATGGCTTTCAAATCTACCAAGGATTGAGAGAGTAATCAAGATTTGAAGTTGTAAAAGAAAAAAGAAAAAGAAAATAAAGAGGAACAGATAGGCTGCGTGTAACAACCCACTCTACCACATGGTATGATATTGTCCGCTTTGGGCCTGAGCCCGCACGGTTTTGCTCTTGGGCTTTACCCCAAAAGGACTCATAACAATTGGAGGTGACACACTTACATATAAGTACTTCACCTTTCCTCTACCCAGGCGATGTGGGACTGTGCACCCGTAGCTCGCCAGTGTGGTAGCCTGACAGTGTCTCTCGCACCCGCCCACGGCACACCCGCCCACAGGGTCATCACAATCACCCCCCCTTTGGGGCCCAACGTCCTCGTTGGCCACACTTCCGGCTGGGTCAGGCTCTGATACCATTTGTAACGACCCACTCCACCACATGGTATGATATTGTCCGCTTTGGGCCTGAGCCCGCACGGTTTTGCTCTTGGGTTTCACCCCAAAAGGCCTCATACCAATTGGAGGTGACACACTTACATATAAGTACTTCACCTTTCCTCTACCCAGGCGATGTGGGACTGTGCACCCGTAGCTCGCCAGTGTGGTAGCCTGACAGTGTCTCTCTCACCCGCCCACGGCACACCCGCCCACAGGGTCATCACACTGCGGGAGAGAAGAAAACAGAGAACAAGAAACAATGAAAAAAAAAAAATGTGGTCTTATGACCACTTAAAACAATTGTGGGCCCCACCAATTTTTATTTTCTTTTCTCTTTTTCTTTTTCTTTTTAATTTACAGACATTACATAGACTATATCTAGAACCAAATATTTCTAAGGCACTTATCGAAAGGGATGAAAACTCTTGCACATGAAGTTAGCATTACGTCACGGACTTGGACCTTTCTAAGCTCGCGTGCTGCCTTAGACACTTTCAAGCCCCCTTGAAACGTTAAGTCAGTCTACCCGAGTGTGCTAGCTTAGTGAAGACTAAAGCTAGACAAGTGTTTTGCTTACTTGAGTGTGTAGGAAGAGATTAGGCAAGTGAGCAAGAGAGTTTGGGAATGTATAGAACTTGTATTGCTTGATAGGAGAAGATTACAACTTGGTTGCTTGGTGAGGAGCAAATGAACTCCCACCTCCTATTTATAGGCCTTTGGCCTTACAAGAACATTCTAGATGTGTACAAATGTGTGGCCTAGAATAAGTGTCTAGAATCCTCCAAAGATATATCTACACAATTCTAGAACTATCTACAATGTACAAGATAAGTCTAAAGAATTTTATACAACTCTAAACAAGTCTAGAAAAGGCTAGACCATAGTTGTTAAAGGCGCCGAAGGCGCGCCTGAGGCGCAAGGCACCTTGGCGCCTTAATTGTCTCAAAGTGACTGCCTTGTACTAGGCAAGCGTCTCTAAAGAATAGGAGTAAGGCTACTGGAGCTCTAAAGGCACGCCTGATTGAAAGTATATATATTTTGTACTTTTTTTGTTATTATTTTGGTTGTGTATGGGTTTATTATTTGTTTATTGTTTGTTTAGTTTTTATTTTTTTATTACAAAACCTATACAAGACTACAAAAGAAAAAGAAAAGAAGAAAGGAGAACCAAGTTACCAAAAAGCAAGAGGACAGAGAAGTATGAGCCCGGACCGAGCCTCATCTGCGAAGCTTGGAGTCTTGGATCTGCCGGATCTACGAAGCCGGTAAGTTCTCATTCCCTCTCTTCTTCTTCTCTCCTTCTTGCTTCTCGGATCTCTCAGTCTTCTTCTTCTTTTCTTCCGGAGACTCTCAGATTTTTTTTTTTTTTTTTTCTTCTTTTCTTCTTCTTCTTCTTCTTTTCTTCAGTTCTTCTTCTTCTGTCTGCAGTCAGCTCTCTCGAGTCTCAGCTCTTAAGTCTTGCTCTTCTTTTATTTTTTTATTTTTTTTCTAGCTTTTTTATTTTTATTTTTTATTTTTTTATTTATTATTCTTCTTCTTTTATTGTTTTTTATTTTTTTATTTTATTTTTTTTCTCTATTCTTCTTCTCTCATCTCGGCTCTTCTTTTATTTTTTTTCAATAGCATATCATTGTTGTAGATCATTGTCTTTCCTAGTATATATCATTGAAAAATGAAGAAATTAATTAAATTGTTTTAAAATTTCCTAATTTAAATTGTCAGTTTGAATAAATAGCATATCTTATTGGAACTGGAAGATGAAATTCGATTAATTTATGTCATTCTTTGACACTTTGAAATCTAAAACCTGAAATCAAATTGGTCAGAGCTGAGTTTGACTTCTTTTTCTCTTGTTGAAAAAAAGAAGAAGTCAATGGAGCTATTAGAAACTATTCGAGTTATGAGCCAATTCTTGAGACTTACGATGTTGAAGAAATTAAGTGATTGCTCAATTTAGTCTATTTGATAATGTACTTTATATGTCACTTAAACTTTCACTTAAATAGAATCAAAATTTGAAGTGAAAGAGTCTTTGTTTATTACTTACTACTGAACACAAATCACACCCAGTGTGAAGAATTTCAAATTTTTTATTCAACCATAGAAATATTTTCACAAAATGAATCATCTTTCCTGATCTCAAAATACTCCTTGTAGTTTGACAGACAAAAGAGGAAATTCGATTCCTTGCCGGTTTGCAGTTGATTGTCTGGACTCTGGTCTACAAAATAATATATAAATAATATTCCAAACCAAGCTTTGATCTCAACATATCTTTCATGAAAAATGATATATATATATATATATATATATATATATATATATATATATATATATATAAGCTTGGTTTGGACATGATTCATGAAAAATGATAACTATATATATATAAGTTGAGATCGAAATAATATATAAATAATATTCTGCTCTTTGCATCAACACTGCTTTTTTTTTTATTTTTGCATGAAATAATATTATGTTTTTTGCATTTTGTCAAAGCTCTTTAATTTTTTTTTTTTTTTTTTAAATTGAAATGTTAATATTGCTTTGAAGTTCTATATATATTTTTTTTGTCAGAGTTGTTGCAGACACTGATTACATAATGCTATTATTTTGTTATCTTGAATTTGATTGTAGTTTGTACTTTAAAAGATGCCTAGTGATGGTTCAAGAAAGGATCTGGCATGGAATTACTCACATTTGGAGAATCTGAAAGATACAAATGCCGTCACTTGTAACTTTTGTGCAAAAGTTACAAAAGGAGGTATTTATCGAGCTAAGCAACACTTAACTGGAGGGTATAGAAATGTGAGTGCATACACAAGATGCCCATCTAGTGTTAGAGAAGAAATCAAAGAGTACATGAGTAAGAAAAAGGAAGAAAAAGATCAAATGAATTTGTTACCTAGTGATGAGATTAATTTCATTGACGGAGAGGATGAGGATGACAGAAGTTAGCAATCGGGGAAAAAGGGTAGCTGGTGCAGGTAGTGCTAGTGTCAATTCCTCAAAGAGGCAAAAGCAAAAGGGACCGATTGATTTATATTTCACTCTCAGACCGAAAGTTGTGGTGCAAAAAAGAAAGGATGGGGGAAAACAGACAACCATGAATGATGCATGCAAGAAAGAGTTGAGAGGAAGAGCGTGTGCTGCTTTTGCAAGGTGGATGTATGATGCAGGAATTGCATTCAATGCTGTTAAGTATGATAGCTTTGCCGAGGTTGTTGAAGCAATTGGACAATATGGTCTTGCCATGAAACCAGCTAGTTATCATGAGGTGAGAGTATCTTTGCTTAGAAAGGAATTGGATAATACCAATGCTTTGATAAATGACCATAGAGAGGAGTGGTCAAAATTTGGATGCTCATTAATGGCAGATGGGTGGACAGACAAGAGAGGGAGAACGTTGTTTAATTTCCTATTAAATAGTCCAAGGGGAACCATGTTTATTGAATCGATAGATACTTCTTCTTTTTCAAAGGATGGTGAAAAGATATTTGACTTACTTAATAAATTTGTGAACCGCATTGGAGTAGCAAATGTCGTCCAAGTCATCACAGATAGTGAATTAAGCAATAAGTATGCCGGTAAGAATGTTCAATGTTTATAACTTTTAGAGTTTACATTCTTTACAAATATATAATTTAAATCAATTTTGATTTATTCATTCTCTTTATATCATTTTTTCTTTTTTCCGTTTGGTTTCAAATAGGGAGGATGTTAGAGAAAGAACACCCACATTTGTATTGGAAGACATTGGGAAAATACCGTCCATCTCTAGAACAATACAGAGGGCAGTGGAGTTAAATAGTTATATTTATATGCGTCCAAAGTTGTTGAACATTATGAGGAACTTTACTCACAAAAAGGAGTTGCTTAGGCCCACTAAGACTCGATTTGCTACATGTTTCATCACATTATCAAGTATTCACAAGCAAAAGAATAACTTGAGAAAGATGTTTACTTCAGAAGAATGGAGTCGTAATAAATGGGCGAAAGAGGAAGCCGGTAAAAGAGTTGTTTCTTATGTTTTGATGCCTTCCTTTTGGAACAACATTGTCTTTAGCCTTAAGGTTTCCGGTCCTCATATTCTGGTTTTTAGATTAGTTGATGGCGAGAGAAAGCCTCCCATGGGATACATTTATGCGGTTATGGATAGGGATAAAGAAGCCATTGCAAAATCATTTGGGGAAGTAGAAGACAAATACAAGGATATTTTTTAAATAATTGATAAAAGGTGGAATGTTCAACTTCATCGCCCTTTGCATGTAGTAGGTTATTATTTGAACCGAGAATACTTTTATTAAAATCCGAACATTGAAGAAGATGAAGACATTGCAAAGGGTTTGTATGCATGCATTGCAAGGTTAGTCCCAGATGTCAAAAACCAAGACAAAATTACTAAGGAGCTGTCCTTATATTCTAAAGCTGAGGGCCTCTTTGGTAATCCCTTTGCTATTAGACAGAGAAGTACACGAGGACCAGGTAAAGTGGTAAAGTATATTAAGTTAGTATAGCTAAGTGTTAAAATTATTTTGACAATAGAGTCGATAGAAAGATGAAGCTAAAGTTGCTAAACATCATTACTAATTTTTTTTAATAGCTAATTGGTGGGAAGCTTATGGCAAGTCAACAAAACTTCTCCAAAAGTTTGCTATAAAGGTTTTAAGCCTCACTTGCAGTTCTTCTAGTTGTGAACGAAATTGGTTTGAGCATGTAAGTATATACTATCTACTAACTAGGTTTGTAATTTAATTATTGAAAATTAAAATTTTAATTTTTTATACTTACTAGTTAAAGTTGAATTTATTGCAGCTTCATAATAAGAAAAGAAATAAGCTCGCTCAAACAACTTTGAATGATTTAGTGTTCATCAAATATAATAGAGCATTGAGGCGTCGATATAATATGTGTAACACTCTTGATCCCATTTTACTCGATGACATTGATGAGAGCAACGAGTGGTTGACGAGGAGGATGGATGATTCTGATGCAGAACATGATCTAGTCTTTGAAGATGATTCCTTGACATGGGGTGATGTTGCTAGTTTTGCTAGTATTAGAGAGAATAGCAGGCCGCAACGGTCTACTAGATCAAAATCTAGTTCTAGTTCACGATTAACAACAAAGGGAGCAGGAAGTTCTTCAGTTCGACTTGTGGATGAGGATGAGGATGATTCAGATGAGATAGAAGAGGATCCTGAGAATTATAAATCATTTAGTGACGATCAAAATGATGTTATGCTTATTGATAACGAGGATGATATTTAGATTCGTTGGTGTTGTCTTCTTAAGAAGAAATGATGTTTATGTTTATTTTAATTTTATCTCATAATTCTCCTTAGTTGACTTTTGCATCTTTATGTTAATATGTTTTATTATTCACTATTAAACTCAAGTACTTGATTTACTTGGTTTTGGCATCTTTATGTTGAATATTTAACTTAAGTAATTCATTTAGTTGACTTTTGCATCTTTATATATACTATTGCATCTTTAATACTTTATTGGGTGGGTTTTGGTTTTTTTTTTTTTCAACGTGCGCCTTGCTTCAGTAGGGCGCGCGCCTCGCCTTGCGCCTTGCGCCTCAGGCTCCAGGAGGCATTTGCGCTTTTGTGCGCCTTAAGCCTTCAACAACTATGGGCTAGACAACTCCACACCAATCTAGATAATTCCAAAAGTTCCATACTTGTGTAGAGAAGTCTAGAAAGTTTTGGTCCATGCAGGCTCCATGTCATCGTCTGCTGGGCGTCTGCGTGGCACCTGCATGGCGTAGCCTCTTGGTTGCGGGGCGTGACAATTAGCTCACATATAAAGGCAACAAGAGACCATACAGAGTCCATAAATAAGGCTACTCCAATCAGTTCTCTTGTATACACAAAACTGATAAACAAGACAAAAAATATATGTTGTCTTCAAGCTCTACCATACTTTCTTTGCTTACAATCCTTGTATCGGCTTCATGTATTGCTTCAAATTCAATTCAAGATAGTTTCTACAGATGTCTCACTTCCAACTCTCAGACCTCTTTACCACAGCCCAAAGTATCCTACACCCCAAACAATTCTTCATTTAATTCAATTGTGCAATCTTATGCCCAAAATTTGAGGTGTTTTGTGCCTCTTGTGTGAAAGCCTGAACTGATATTCACACCGTTACTTGAATCTCATGTCCAAGCAACTGTAATTTGCTCAAAAGAACTTGGTATTCAGGTGAGAGTTTGGAGAGGAGACCATGACTATGAAGGCATCTCATATAGATCAGAAGTGGAAACACCATTCATGGTGGTTGATTTGGCTAAGCTTCGATCCATCAATGTCGATATTGAGGACAACAGTGCATGGGTTCAAGCAGGTGCAACTATTGGTGAAGTTTACTATAGAATTGCTGAGAAAAGCAATATCCATGGCTTCCCATCCGAACTTTGCACCAGCTTAGGTGTTGGTGGACACATTACAGGATGCGCATATGGTCCCATGATAAGAAAATATGGGCTTGAAGCTGACAATGTCGTTGATGCGCGATTGGTTGATGCTAGTGGAAGAATCTTTGACAGAGCATCCATGGGAGAAGATCTGTTTTGGGCCATTAGAAGGGTTGGAGGAGCCAGCTTTGGTATCATCCTTTCATGGAAGATAAATTTTCCAAAAACTCTGATGGTTCTTACAATTCCTAAGACCTTGGAAGAAGACGCGACAAAGATCCTCTACAGATGGCAAAAAGTTGCAGACAAGCTCAATGAAGATCTCTTCATTAGAGTCATCATACAAGTGGTAATTAAGTACCGGTAATGAAGGTGATCAGAAGACTGTAAGAACTTCCTACAATGCATTTTTTCTTGGTAGAACTGATAGACTCCAAGAAATAATGAATGAGAGCTTCCCTGAATTGGGGTTGGAGCAAAAAGATTGCATCCAAGGGAGGAACTAGTAATGGGCTAACCTGGGCTATAGCCCAGGTCCAATTGAAAAAAAAAAAATTAGTACTATTGTTCCTATAAGCCCGTGTACTACTCTTCCTCTTCCTATCAGCCCAGCCAAATTCATAGTATTTCTATAAATAAAAAGAGTTATAAAATTTACAAAGGTCAAACCTTAAATATGAGCAAGCCCACGAACCATAGACATGTCCAATCACAAAATAAACCATAATAAAATATAATAGGGCCCAACCTAGTAAATCAAAATACATTGTTAGTCTATCGAAGAAGACCTAAACTCTTTGTGTGTAAGGCACTAAGGCATAAGTAGATGGATATCATGGATTATTATTGTTAATCCAGTGAAATATTGAATTTTATTTTTGTATATAAAATAAATAAATAAATAAAAAGGGCTTTGTTGATGACTTGATAATTTCTTGTTAAATTGGGTAATTTACTATATAATGGATTAATAACTAGTCAAGGGCGGAGCACATAGGTGTTACTTTCCAATGTGAATTTATTGATAAGGAACATATATATCTTGCATTCTTGTAGTTGTTTGCTTTAATACTTGTATGAAGCAAACTTCAATGGATTTTTGACTGTAAAAATACGTTAGAATTTGGAAGTGTAAATGAGTTAGAAAGTTGTAGATTATTGGGTTTAATTGAATAACTAATGTATGATAATTTTGTATTTAAAGCATGGATGACACACTAAGCAATCATGGGTTTAATTATTTTTAGCCCTCCCGACTTTGCAATCCTGGTTCCGCCCTGACTGTATCGAAATGAGCTGGCTTGAATCGGTGCTATATATCGCCAGCTACCCAAGAACTGTACCCACTGAAATTCTACTCCAAGGGAAGTCACCAATGAAGTGCTATTTCAAGGCCAAATCAGATCTTGTGAGAGAACCTATTCCTGAAACTGAGCTGGAAGGGCTTTGGAAAAGGCTAATGGAAGAAGACTTTCCAATGATGATATGGAATCCATATGGTGGAATGATGGGTAAGACTTCAGAGTATGAAATTCCTTTCCCTCATAGAAAAGGTGTCATATATAATATACAGTACCTGACAGCCCGGGAAGATGCAGAGAAGGACACAGCAGCAAAGCACATAGATTGGATTAGGAGGCTTTACAGTTACAAGGCTTCTATTGTTTGTATGTTCCAAAGAGAATCATATGTGTCAATTATAGGGATCTTGATTTGGGTACACGAAATGTAACACAAGATCCATTCAGGGAAGTGTTTGGGGTAACAAGTACTTGAAGAAATACTTCAACCGATTGGCAAGAGTGAAGACCAAGGTCGATCCGGATAACTTCTTCTGGCAGGAATAGAGCATCCCAACTCTTCCATCAATGACCAAGAGGAGAGGGAAGAAATGGTATATAATCTAGAGACGGAATATATCTTATATATAAGCATATATAAAGCACTATAAGCAATAGAAGCACTTCTTTTTGTACAAAATGTTTTTGGCATTAGTATTACGAATAAGAAAGATTTAGGATGGGAAGTGTCTCCATCAGTAATGGTACATAGGTATGAGAGCAGTGTGTTAGTCAAAATAGGAAGTGTCACTATTTGCACAGATGGATGAATACACATTCCATTAACTTCGTATAGTTCACTTGAACACAAATATCATCAAACCAATTTGTACCACTCTCATGACTCAAATATATATATATATATATATATATATATATATATATATATATATTCTTACTTGTAAAGTCTCATTATTTTATCAAACGGTTTCTAGACTAATGGTATAACCTCTCCTCCCCAAACTGGGAGTTGAGGGTTTAAGTCCCATTAAGGACATGTGGATAATGGGTGCGTAAAAAAAAAAAAAAATCATTATTTTAATTTGGTTACAGAGTTTTATAATTTCAAATTTCATAAAATTCTCTACGTCTTCTCTCACATTTTTTTTTCCTCAATTGGGCCATCTCACTTCCTCTGTAGCCAATCTTGATTCTTATACTCATGGAATCTGAACCAAACATAACATTGTTGGTAATATGAAGTCTTGCAGGGAAATATTTTTCTGGAGAATTAGAACTAAGTGGAGTACTGAAAATCATGCTGGATTTAGTTTCCATGAATATCGATCTGAATATACACTCGCTTATAGATATTTTTCGATGGAGCATCAAGAAAAGAAGTGTGCGCGCGGATAGGTTCTATGGTTGTGTTTTGTTGATGAAATTTCTTAAAGAATAATAGGCACAATTAAAGAGATACTTACATCTGACACTATACACCCACTCATATTTGTTCCAAGCTAGGGAAGAAGGTAGTGGAAACAAGGTTCAAGCCCATTCTTCAAGCCACGAACAGAGGTTACAAAGTCTTTTCTTATGTTGCAGGGACAACACAGAAGCTGTTGAGAAAGCACACCACTACGAGGACATGCACATTTTGCTCTACAAAGAGAAGAACAGTAGTTTTCCCAATATTGTACATACATCAGGCTTTCAGTTGTAATATAAGAAAGAATGCAGTGGTACTATCTTTCTGATAGTAAGATATACTCAGATGACTAGATGAGGTATAAAAAATCAACCAAAAGCAATATAGACAATAATGTGAGGCTTTTTCTACAAACAACACATTAGTCCAAATTCTGCAAGTCCTTTTACACAAACCCTTCATTGCTCACTGTAAGCAAAAAAATAATTATTTAATTATTAATAATAATAGTTATAAAATAAAAACGAACATTAAAGTTGACTTTGTTTTTGGTAAACAAACATTTAACTTGGCTAAGCATCAACAAAAGTCTACGCAAGAGACAATATTAAGCAGCAAACAACAGATTGACTACAATTTTTGCAACTAGAGGGTGGTTGTTTGCCGCTTCTTTTTCTCTCACATAGAGAAGTTTTAAAATGAATAGTCAACTCTTGTAATTGCCACCCAGTGCCAACCTTTGAATGGTTGTAACAATATTAATAATAATGTCACGATCCAAAAATTCTAATAAAATTATTAGTTTATATAAATTAAAAATACATCAAAATACACAAGGATCATAAAAAAAAATACCATCTTTTTATACAAAGTCAATTTCCTCAAATATATAAAAATTCTCCAAATAAAAAATTTAAATTTTGTAATGCCAACTCTTCAGCCTAAGCCCGAATCTAGCAATTCACGTTTATCCTCGATACCTGAGACAAAAAGTCCCAATAAGAAAAATCATAACAAGAATTTCATGGAGATTTAACAAAACAGCTTCACAAAACATACACATTCATATAAATATATAAACAAAATAAATATGCATTTAATCAAAACATTTAATAAAATCATTTGAAGCAAAATCACCCCATACCATTCAAGATATAGAGAACCCTACACTGAAAAACAATTATTACTGAAAAACAATTATTTCCTCGCTAGATCACCATGTCCTCAAACCTCCGGTCTCCTCTACAACTCGGCTCCTCTGTGTACCTCCCTCAAACTCTCGGCCCTCTCTCTATGTCCTCAAAAACTCTATATTTTCCCTCAAATTCTCTTATGTGCTTCCTCACCAAACAAATACCAATATAAATAAGCAAAACCACCGACACAATTCAGCTCTACACCGACTCCATACACACGTCAATACTACTCACCACGCACTGAAAAAATGCCAGACAACATCATTTCATCTGAACCAAACAATTTACTGAGTCCCGCCACCATCTTTTCTTTCCTTACTTCCTTACTTAGCAAACTACATCAGCCATTCTTTCCGAATAAAAAAAACTACAACAGCCACAAAACATTACTTTGTCAAAAAGCAAAAAGCAAAAATCAAAGTTAATCATGACATCACCAAACCAAACCAAACCAAACCAAATGCCCTTTCCATCTGTCGGCAGCCAACCTTTTTCTTTTTCCTTCCACCACCCATCTCATTCATATCTACAACACAAAATATATATATATATATATATATATATATATATATACAGCCAACTAAACCAAACCCCTTATATGGAACCCGCCAAAAACAAAACCCATATCACCATTTCCAATTTTCCTTTCTCTCCCTTCCCACTGTCCTCGGCTAGGCCACTGCTCCTTTCCATTTCCTACCTCATAAATATAATATATATATATATAACAAAACTAAATCAAAATTCAAAACTCAATAATTTTAATAAATAAATAATTAATTTAAACAGTCTAAAAATTATAAAATAATTAAATTAAAATTTTAAAATTTCAGATCATCACAAATAATAATAAAATACTAGTTGTAATTTAAAAACAAAATGAGCATTAAACTTTATTTTGTTTTTGGTAAGCAAGCATTAAACTTGGCTAGTCATCTGCAGAGAAAATATTAAAAATAAACAAATAAATAAAAACTAGAATTGTCTGTCCCAAAAGTAGATCAAAACTTGGGACTTAGACAGTATCAAGAATCTCATTAACTCTCGCACATGAAGGTAGCATTAGCTCATATAAAGTCAACAGGAGACCACACGAAGCCCATAAATAAGGTTTCTCAATCAGTTCTCTCGTATACACAAAACTGAGAAAGAAGGCAAAAAAAAAAAAAAAATATGTTGTCTTCAAGCTCTGCCATTCTTTCTCTACTTACAATCCTTGTATCGGCTTCATGCATTGCTTCAAATTCAATTCAAGATAGCTTCTACAGATGTCTCACTCTCAACTCTGAGACCTCTTTACCACTCTCCACAGCATTCTACACCCCAAACAATTCTTCATTCACTTCCGTCCTACAATCTACTGCCCAAAACTTAAGGTGTTTGATGCCTTCTGTGCCAAAGCCTGAACTGATATTCACACCATTGCTTGAATCTCATGTCCAAGCAGCTGTAATTTGCTCAAAAGAGCTTGGTATTCAGCTCAGAGTCCGGAGCGGAGGCCATGACTATGAAGGCATCTCATATATATCAGAAGTGGAAACACCATTCGTGGTGGTTGACTTGGCTAAGCTTCGATCCATCAATGTCGACATTGAGGACAACAGTGCATGGGTTCAGGCCGGTGCAACCATTGGTGAAGTTTACTATAGAATTGCTGAGAAAAGCAAGATCCATGGCTTCCCAGCTGGACTCTGCACCAGCTTAGGTGTTGGTGGGCACATTACAGGAGGCGCATACGGTCCCATGATGAGAAAATATGGCCTTGGAGCAGACAATGTCATGGATGCACGATTGGTTGATGCTAGCGGAAGAATACTTAACAGAGCTTCCATGGGAGAAGATCTGTTTTGGGCCATCAGAGGGGGTGGAGGAGCCAGCTTTGGTATCATCCTTTCATGGAAGATAAATCTGGTTCCTGTTCCGTCAACTGTGACAGTTTTTACAGTTCCTAAGACCTTGGAACAAGGCGCGACAAAGATCCTCTACAGATGGCAACAAGTTGCAGACAAGCTCGATGAAGATCTCTTCATTAGAGTCATCATACAAAAGGCAAGTACCGGTAATCAGAGTACGGTAACAACTTCCTACAATGCACTGTTTCTTGGAAAAACTGATAGGCTCCTAGAAATAATGAATGAGAGCTTCCCTGAATTGGGGTTGCGGCAAAAAGACTGCATTGAAATGAGCTGGCTTGAGTCGGTGCTATATGTTGCCGGCTACCCAAGCACTGTACCTCCTGAAGTTCTACTCCAAGGGAAGTCAACGTCGAAGAGTTATTTCAAGGCCAAATCAGATTTTGTGAGAAAACCAATTCCTGAAACTGGGCTGGAAGGGCTTTGGAAAAGGCTCTTGGAAGAAGACATTCCATTGACAATATGGAATCCATATGGTGGAATGATGGGTAAGATTTCAGAGTCTGAAACTCCTTTCCCTCATAGAAAAGGTGTCATATATAAAATACAGTACCTTACAGCCTGGACAAATGCAGACAAAGATACAGAAGCAAAGCACATAGAATGGATTAGGAGGCTTTACAGTTACATGGCCTCTTATGTTAGGATGTCCCCAAGAGAAGCATATGTCAATTACAGGGATCTTGATTTGGGTATGAACACGAAAGGTAACACGAGTTTCATTCAGGGAAGTGTTTGGGGTAAGAAGTACTTCAAGAAAAACTTCAAGCGTTTGGCAAGAGTGAAGACCAAGGTTGATCCGGATAACTTCTTCTGGCATGAACAGAGCATACCAACTCTTCCATGAATGACCAAAAGGAATGGGAGGAAAGGGTAGACAGTCCAGGGATGAAATGTATCTTATAATGCACTAGTTGCAAGTGAAGCACTTCTCTTTGTACCAGATGGTTTGGTTTTTATAATTAGTAATAAGAATATGATGGATAGGCAGTGTCTCCCTCAAGATAAAGTGTCATTGTTTTTGGTTTTGTATACCCATGTGGATGCATGCATACTCCATTAAGTAGTACATTTAAATTGAATACAAATATTGTCAACCCAATTCGCACCATTCTCACGACTAAAATATTAGAACCTTACTCAACTGGTTTACTCAATCAGCAACCATACTTGCTAATATATATATATATATATATATATATATATAATCCTACTTCAGCATTTTAAGTTGTGTACAATCTCCATTCTCATGTTCATTTTGAATCTGAAACAAATATAAGACTTGTTGCTAATATGATCTAGCAAAAGTCTGCAATCTTTTCTCTCTCTCTCCCCCTCCTCTTGCCTTAGTGACATGCCTCATTCCTGCGATATAGCTAAAACCATACTTTAACAACAAAAAAGGCCACTTTGGTTTCATCTTTTTGTTTGGCTATTATTCCTAACCCTTGCATGAAATCTCGCAGGGAAACACACATTAGTTCAAGGCCAAGAGGCCTCAGAACCCAAAATCTGTGTCCACCTGCAATCCCTTAGAAGAATTATTATTGTTTTTCTTTCTTGACCACACAAAAGAAGTCCTAACCCACCTTGGAATCATGGTTGTCAGCCAAAAGGCTCCATTATCATCCACTGGTATTTTGCTTGGCTGCGAATTCAACCTCGTGGGCAAACCATCCATACAATCCCTCCAAGAAATATAATTTGATCTTGCTAGGTAATGGTATATACTGTTTTTTTAGACCAAATATTGTCCCAGACCTTCTAGGGTGGACAACTGGGCAAGGGCAAGTGCCTCCCACGCCCCTTTACCCTTCATTTTTCTGCATCAGGTTCAACTTCAGAATCACATGACAAGCATTAGTTTTGAGATGTGACCTTAATTCAGTCTGAATGAAAGAAGTTGAGTGAGATAAATATTTATTCCGATGGAGCATTGAGAAAAAATAATGTGAGGGTAGGATTTATGGCTGTGTTTCGTTGCTGAAATTTGTTTAAGAAACACAGGCACAATGGGTGAGACACTTACATCTGACATTACATACCCAAAGCATTTGTTCACAGCTCACAGGGAAGAAGGTAAGTTGAAGCAGGGCTCAAGCTCCTTCTTCAAACATGACGACCACTTACAGAGTTTTTTCTGCGTTGCAGGACCAACATAGAAGCTGTTGACAAAGCACAGCATCATGAGGACGTCGACAACATGTGATAATTCAACCTAAGTGTGACAATGATGCAATAGTTCTTCGAATGTTGCACATACATCAAGCCTTTAGAAGAAATAAATGAAAGAGTTCAATCGACTTATCATTCTGATAGTAAGATAAAATCAGAACCGAGTATGGAAATCAAGCAATAGACACAAAAATGAGACATTTTCTTCTATAAACAACTAATCAGACCAAATTTAGTAATTCCTTTTATACAGACTCTTCATTGTTCATTGCAGGAAAGGACACCACAATAATTGACACCATCCTAATTCGATAAATTTGGAAACACTTCTCAGAAGATGTACCATAAAATAAAATGCTAGATTGTGAATGAAAAATATTTTCAAACCATTGAAATTAACATTTTAACAGATGCTACACTTCCAATTAAATTATCTACTTTTCTTGGCTGCTTTTGATTGAGGAAGTGTTCCAAACACCTTGTCCCATAGCGAGGAAGTGATACCGAAGCCCTGATTCTGGATCCGGAAATGATGATTTAAGTGATATTTCTGCAAAACACAAACAGAGAACTATTCACCAGCAAGAAAGCTATATGTTGTTTTTCAGATTAGATCAGTTATAGTCTATAGAGTATAAGACTAGTCCCCCTAATCCCCACTAACTCCTAACTCTCTAACCATTGCCGGGTAAAAAAAAAAAAAAAAAGACTAGAAACCAAATGAGCGGGGGATCTGAAAATTAAATACAATCTGGAAGTGTGCAACGGGTACAGCTCTTACCTTGAGATTTCGAGGTACTTCGCTAGATGGCTGTCCATGGTGCAAGTAGTAATGTGTGACATCATAAATCACATAACCCAGTAAACCACCTCCAAACAAAGCAGGAGTAATAGAAGGAGTAGACATGAGTTGAACCAAGTTCCAGAACTGGCAGTGATGGATTGCAAGGAGTCAGAAGTATGTACAAAAACTAATCAACAATATATTTAGAATACTTGTATTTATATATATCCATGCATACTCAGTATCTAATATATAAGATTCAGATTCTTGTTCACTTAAAATGCACTGCTCTTCGGACTATAAGAAGTTGGTTAAAGGTCGTATTGACCACATTATTATTTTTTCAAATAAAACCATATATTAGAGACCGTGTTCAGTGTATCTCAAAACTTGAAATGTATCAATCAGCCAACTTTGATCTACAAATTACAACTCAGACAGCAGTTGTAGAATTGGTAGTAGCAAGGGTAATTGGATCAATAAGGCAGTGTTGGCAAATGGACCAGTACCAACAAAAAAGAAAATGAAGGTCTGATCCAACAGAGGTTTGGTCTAAAAATTTAACAGGCCACAACGTAAAAATTTGAGTCCTACTACTATTTTTTTTCCTAGTTGGTACTCACACACACTTGTCTCTTCTGAGACTTGAACCCCTGACCTCCCTTTGAAAAGTAAGAGGCTGATACCGCGGGCCACTGGCCCGTTGGTGAGTCCTACTACTTCCTAGACTCTTTAGCTGATTTTTGCTTTCATAGATCAATCTGACAAAATGAACCATTCCCACCAATCCAGAGCATACAATATGGAAAGGCATCATGCATATAGAACTATATAACTGTCAAAAGTAATTTCATCTTTATATACATTTTCTATAACTTTATAATAATTTATATCAATCAAAATAGAGAGAGATACCATGGTCTCGAAAAAATACCTTTTTAACCTGTTTTCTTTCTAAAAAGAGACAATGTTTGGAAACTATCTTTTTTAAATTAAATTACTCAAGGGCCTTAAATAAAATGATTCATTGTTCATTGTTTTTCGGCTAAAAACTAACCATGTTCTACCTTTAACCACAACTTTCACAAGTTAATTACAGAACAAAATGAACTCATTAAGCCTCATTGCACATGCAAGCAAATGCACCAACCAGACACACCAAATGAGATATCTTAAAACCAATTTCTGAATTTTCTTAATTTTTTACACAATACCCTCTGACATTCTAGAATTTTTATCCATAGTACAAATGCAACATAACTCAACGAATCAAAAATAAGCAAACAACAGTTGAGGTGGTCAATCAGCCAGATATTAGAGTGTGTAAGAACACCGTGGGATTACCAAAAATTATCTAGTAATTCAAACAAATGAATTCAAAGCAACATATTAGAACATGAACAAAAAGGCAACTAATCTTCACAAAAATAAAGGAAACTTTTCATGTCCTAAGACATTAAATACTAATAGAAATGAAGAAACAAAGGTCTAACAGAACATACTGGCAGACACAGAACAGCTGTTGCAGTAGGAGGGAAAACAAGGCGTAATCCATCCATGGGGTGCTTGTGATGGCAACCATGAAGAAGATAGTGTATGGTGTTTCCCCTGTAATAAGTTCCTGACGATATTAGTACAGACTTTGACAATAAAGAACTTGAACTCAGCACCAATGGTCAGGAAGTATACTAATGCAGGATAGAAAGAGAGCTCTAACCAATAGGACTTTGTCTCAATGTGGAAAAGGAAGCGGTGCAAGGTGTATTCCAGCAATGTCCATATAAAAATGCCAGAGACCACCATCAGTGATATCTGGGGAAGTGAATGTCCCATTCTTATAGACATAGAGATGCACCAGCATACAACTGGCAGCCAAATGAGTGGAACTGCCCACCATACTGTACGGGTCAAAAACTGTTTCACGCATAAATAAGTCAAAAGTGCATACATGAATCTTGCGATAGCATGCCTTAAACTAATAGTTAGCTAACATGCTATATGTATAATGCATGGATCTACATAGCTCGTGTGTGCCAGCTACATTACCTAATGGTGATCATGGCCTAGAACCCCCCTGGCCCAAATAAATAAATAAATAAATAAATAAAATCATAGTAAATGAACTGTGATATTATGATAGTTGAAAATTGTTATGCACAACACAAAGGGATAATACCTCCCAAAAATCACTTTCAAAAAATCGAGGGCCTTCCTTGCTGACAATGGGCTGGTGAACCCACTCTTGATAAGCTTCTCCTAGATGGCCAACCTGTGAAAGATTCTCAAAATGTTACAAAGTCAAAAGAAATAAAGTAACCCATAAATATGTTCAAGTTCACTACCATGCCCTGGAAAATTTTATGGCGAACAGTTAGGTTAACAGAATGGCAAAATGAGAAGGAAAAGGAACAAGGAAAGAGGAAAAGACTAGACTGAGAAGCATTTAAAATAGAGAAAAAGCATAAACACTTGCAAATGGAAGTGAAATTTGAGAACCAACAACAAAAGAAGGTACATTGACACCACCAAGAAGCCCTTTACACAAGCTGAGATTGGTTTCCACAGACTACCCAAAAGATCTTTTGGTCCCCATCCATAAATAGAATATTAACAAAAAAAGAAACAAATGTATCCAAAACATAGGTGAATGATCTTATCTATCAGAACACAAAAGACCAGCATGTGCATAGTAACAACACAATAAGATAGGAAAGGCTACAAAATTTTCTGCTGCAATTGAAAGATCATAGAAGATCAACATGTTCATATAAACAACTAACACACTAAGATTCCAAGTACAGCTGAAATGCAAAAAATAGTAGAAAATAATTTACTTGAACTAATATTATATCAAAATAATGGAAGAAAAACATGATGATGGGTATTCACCTGGAAGACAAGCGGTTTATTCAAATCCACAATAAAATCCTGCGCAACCATCTCAGTACCTTTTTATGTAACTGACATAATGAATGAAAAAAAAAAGAGTTAGGGTAAAAATAAGGTGAATAATCACTTATAAAGAAAAAATAATGATAAAAATAAACTGAATAATCACACCCCTACAAGCATGGTGAACAAAGAATGAAATTTCAATTACATGAAGAACGGCTTACACATTGACAAGCCCACAAACATCATGTAATGAAATTTTCAATTACATGAAGAACGGCTTACACATTGACAAGCCCACAAACATCATGTAATGAAATTTTCAATTACATGAAGAATGGCTTACACATTGACAAGCCCACAAAAGCATTTTTTTCTTTTTTCCCTTTGGAAGATGCTGTGCAAGTTTTTATGTCATTGTGAAACAATGGACAGCCAGTTTCTTAATGGAAATTGTGCTTGGAAGCTCCTTTTCAACCTTGTTAATTATTAAAATAGATATTTTAAACTAGGAAAAAAATAGATATTTTGAATCGGATCAGTTATAACAATAAGGAACCATAACACTTCTGAGTCATGATTTGCTGTCTGAGATCATAATCGTGATCGTGAACGTGCACTCTTGCAATTTCCATCACAAATATAAAAAGGATGCCTCTAATGGCACTCCACTATTAACTCCAAAAACTCCAGACTTTGAATGCATGAATGAATATATATATATGGAAAGTGGTATGCCAAACATGTTACTCTCATAAATAGGTATTTTTCAAATTTACCACTGAAATATCAAATTTAAGCCATAAGATTCCTAAAAGAAAAATTAGGTTTTCAGTCAGAGTTGGACCTAATTTTTAAAAAATGGTTATATACAGAGGTTTTCACTTAGGCTCTCTCTCTCTAGTTTCCCACTAATGTTATTTAGGTTGTATTTTCCTCATTTTTAAGTTGTATTTTTTCTCATTGGTTGTGTTACTACTCTAAGAATAGGAAAAAGTTACAACGATGGTGCTCTCACTAATCTCACTCTCTTACAACAGTTTGACCTTGAGTTTGAGGTTAGTCTCTCGACCCAACGTTATGAGAATGTGAAGGGAGCACCCTTATGGTAGACACTCTTAAGAATGCATACTAAGACTTATAATTTGTGTATAATTTCTAATTTTGTTTTAAAATTTTAATTGCCTATGACAATTAGTTCCTCCAATTGAAATTTCCTGGTCCGCCTACCCATCATCACTAATAACACGAATATATCAAATCTCATTGTGAGAGCATTCTACACGCAAACCAACTATGACACAAATGTAAGAATAATTTCAATGTAAATTGAAACTGTCATTCAGCGATGAAAAATTTCCCATCAAGAAACCAGCTTATACTAAAAACGTAATAACTCAGAACAGATACTAACTACAAATTGAAACAACGAATCAAAATCAAGCACAACGAAATCCACGAATGCAATCTGAAAACTAAAACACTTCAAATAACAAATCCACATAAAACCCTAAAGTTACTCAATATTATCACGAGAAAAGCAACAATCTTAGGTACAGTGATCTACACAGGTAATCAAAATCAGAAGGCGAACAGTTACTAACCTAAAAAAAAAATGCCGGTCCGATCTGTTAGCGTAGACGGGGTTTTGGAAACCCTAACGACGACTCTCTCTCTTTCTCTCTCTGTGCAGTAGCAATGACTTTCCACCAGTTTTAGAGCGTTGGTTTCTGATCAGAAGAGTCATGAACTAAAATGAGAGGTCTCGTTAAAGAAGATCTTTTTCTATTTATATTATATATACACATATAGTATATATATTATACATATATTATTAATTTAGTATATATATATATATACATGTTAAAGGGGTTGGAAAGATCGTGGCCGTCCATTTGAATGGGCATCACTCGAATCGCCAGCGGGATCTTCGTGATGGATTCTCATAATTGCCAGCCTGGCAATCTTCGATACAGCTCATCACTAGAGGAGAAATCCAGTGTGGTAGTACTCATGTATGATTCTAGATTCACAGTGATCTTGTGCGTTGGATTGATGAGAAGAGATCGGGAGGTAACTAGTGGGACCCAGTTGTGCGTTGAATTTGTAGTTGCCGTTTGTTTTGGGCTTGACCAAAGGCCTCATACAGAGAGGGCCAACAGTTAATGCAAAACCACCCTTCTGTGGAGAAAACTTGGTGCACCATGCACCTTCACTCACCAAGTTTTTCCACATAAGTGGAGCTGTTTGGATGGAAGGAAAAGTTCCAAAAAGTCTTCCAACATGTTAGAATTTATTCTATCCTTCTTTATATTGACTCCAGAACATATTCACATCAAAGAATTATTCTTTCCTTCTTTTCTTCTACATTTTCCCTATTAATTTTGTGGGAAACAAGAATATTGTGGGATTTTTCCCACATGTAATGGGAAATGGGAATATTGTATCATTGGATGTCATCATAGTTCATTAAATTCAACCACTAAGTCTGATACGATTAGGTATATATCGTCAGTTAGGTATTACTATTTTCTGAAGAAACATTTCTTTGAAGTTGTCATGACAATAATATGTGAATACCACTTGAATACGTGTCGAATATGGTTAAAACTATTCTAAATAATAAATATTTTATTTTTTTATCACGACTCAAATATGGTGTATCGAATATAGCTAGAACTATTTTAAATAATAAATATTTTATTTTTTGATCGGCGACATGAACACACCAAAGATACATTTTGTACAATTTTAGGATATGATGGGGTAATTTGTAATTTTCTTTTTCAAAAAATAAAATTCAATGCAATTTAAAATGTATATTATGGGTTAATTAAAAAATAATATAAAATTTTAAAAACAAAAATAATGAACATATAGCTCTAAACTATAGATTATTGATTAATTTATGCGGGGTAGAGCCAGAAATTTGAGGTTGGGAGGACAGGTTTGTACTCTGTAATTAAAGTTTAGAAAATTATACACTAATTATAAAAATTCTTAAATTTGAGCTTTTAAAAATATAATTAAAAGAGTCTAAGTTGAAAAATTACTAAATTTCATAGGGAGACAAACTAAATTTATTTTCAAATTCTCTATTTTGGATCAATATATAAGTGTTTGGAAAAAAATAGGGGGCCAATTAAAAATTTTAATGAATTTTAGAAACAAAACCTAAAAGTAATTAATATTTATGGGTATAAATAAAATTTTAAAAAAGTTTGGGGGCACGGCTAGCCCACCCCTAGCCCTGCCCTGAATTTATGATTATATGAATAAAATGAAAATAAATATATTATTTATATATATAATAATATATATTATATTATTATTTTCTGACGTATCCATGTCGTACTTGTATCGTATTTTTTAAAAATTTACAGTATCGTCGTGTTCATATCATGTCATATTTGTACCGTGTCGTACCAATATGTGTATTCGTGCTTCCTAGCTATTATTTAATAACTTAAGTTCTAGTATTGGTTAACACCCCACCCACGATTGGTACCAGAATCATAATTAGTTCTTGGCTTGAAAACATTCGAGGTAGGGTGACTCAACCACAATGACAACATTGCGAGTTTAAGTAAAAAAAATAAAAAAAAAAACAAAAGACTTAAAAAAGAAAAAATTATTATAATAATATAATTATTATAATTTGAATTGAACATATATATATTGACGGTAGACTTGAACAACGTGGAAAGAATTTTGCACTCTTGGATGGTTCTAATTTGAATTGAACTTGTCAAAACAAACAACGGTCATGTCGTGTGAAATAATTCATAAAGAAATATGTACAAAGATGTCTTAATTCTTAAGAAAGAGAGACTTTAGAAGATTTAGATAGTAAAACCGTTATTTAATCTAAATCTTTTTTCAACTCTTTGGGGAGAGTTAATACTGGGGTGTCTAATCACATAAATAAATAAATATAAAAATTACACAAGGTGATGGAAAATGGTTGGCTCATTTCGATCATTTATGAATGTACTACTTGAATTCTTTGGTTCACATTTATGAATTAGGTACAAATAGTCAAAGGTACAAATACAAAAGTATGCAAAAATGCGCCGTCATCAAATTGGAAAACTGACATCATTTTTGATTTAATGATATTATAGTATTACAACTCAATATCAGGAATCTGATTTGGCCAGTCATGTGAGAGTTAAAAAAGAGTCATTCCTCACATGGTAACGTTACAAAAAAAAAAATTAAATAAATAAATAAATAGAGGAGGAAATTAAGTAAAAATTCATAAAACTATACCGTTTGTATATATCAAATTATTTTAATAGTTAGTCAAAAGACTCAAAACTTCATTAACTACTGATTTTAACAAAACAAATGCAATAGTAGATAATATCTCATGGACTCAAAATATATACATGACGTTTAATTATTAGTGTTAAAATCTTCATTAATACTTTATATTGAGTAGGATTTTGGTAATGGGAAAGAGGGAAAGTTTTTAGTTTCTGGTTTGTGAGGGGAAAGAGGAAGCACCATGTTTTCTATATTTTTTTTTTTCTTTCTTTTTTTTTTTTCGTTTCTTTTTTTGCCCTTTTAGTTATACCATGTCAAAGACGACTCTTTCTTTTTTAACTCTAACATGACCTAGCCAAGTCAGATTATGAAGTTTTCGCGGTGCCTATGAGCCTATCATTCTATCTTTATTCCAAATAAATATGTTAATAAGTGATTACATTGCTATTTTATCAAGAAATATCGGCATGCCTGCCATCACACCAGAATGAATAAAGTTTTTTGAGTTTGATTTAATTTAGAATACACAAAGAGAATCATGTTCTCAAGAAACATGTGGCAATAATTTTGTATTTTCTTATATTTTTGGTAAAATTAAAATATGAAAAAAAGAAAAAGAAAAAGTAATTGTTGTTAAAATGAATTTATTTTAGGAATCTTGTATTTATAATGAAAACTCATGCAATCGATTAAGATTCGTTCTCCCAATTGCAATTGGAAAATGGCCATTATGTTTTGTATCGACAAAAATAATGTTAAAGATAAATCTGTTTCTAATCTTCTTTTCTCCAAACCCTAAGTAATGCACTTTTTTATAATTAATTTGATTAATTTTTTAATAGTTAAAGCTATAGCTTTCCAACCAAAATAGTGATTCACAAAAGTAGCAGGGCTCATGGAATTTTATTGTCAAAAATGCCTTCAAGAGAGAGAGAGCCCTGATGTTGAATTGTCATTTTCCATAAGTTCAAATTTTATGGGCCCCACTTGCAACAAAGTGAAAGTTTAGGCAATTTTTTTTTTTTTTTTTTTTTTTTTTTTTTTTTTTTTTTTGCAATTTTGCCAATTATCTATAATTTCATATTTCTTAAATAAATAAATAAATAAAAACAAAGGTGGACAAGTTTGAAAAACTAGTGTGCAATGTAAGCCATTCTATGCATATCTGAAATTCTGCTCAAAGTTAGACTTGGACTCCTGGAATGATCATCAAGCAATCGCCAAAAAAACTGAGAACCTCTCGTATTACATAATAATTTGAAAAAGATAAATTTATCATACGACTCTATTAAAAAAAATAATAATAATAATAAAAAAAAATAATAAAAAACCCCTAGCAACCTGTTTAACTGAGAGTAGTTGCTAGAAAAAGATATTAATATAGTTACAGAAAGAGTAAAAAGAATTGACAGCTTATAGCAGAAGGTGTATTGGCAAGCCAGGCTTCCTTCATTTGGGGAAATCTCCATCACATTAAAACTTTCATGAACAATTTTCCCTTCTGCTCCAGTTGAATTATCTACTTTTCTCGGCGGGGTTTGTTGGAGGGAGTGTTCCGAAGACCTTGTCCCAAAACGAAGAAGTAATCCCGAATCCCTTGTCCTGAATTCTGAAATGATGGTTCATGTGGGATCTCTGCACAAACAACCACAATCAAGTCAAAGGGCATTGATATGCAAATGTGGCTCTTAATGGATCATTTTTTTTAGCAGAAAAACCAATTCCATTCGGTAAATGGTTACCTTTAGATTAGAAGATATTCCTTTGGTTGGCTTCCCATGGTGCAGGTAGTAATGAGTGCAATCATACATTATGTATCCCAACAAGCCACCTCCAACGAAAGCACGGGCAACGGACGGAGGTGTCAAAAGCTTAACTAGGCTCCAGAACTGGTAGTTGAAAACAACGGTGAATTAGAAGCAGTAGAAGAAAGATTAAGCAACAATAGATTGATTATAGAAAAAGGTACTAGCCTGTTATAGTGTTCTGTTTAATTAGCATTTTTTAGTACTTTGCACGCATTACAGTGGTTGAATATAACTGACTTGTACTGTTTTAGGGGTTGGAAGACTAGATTTTCAAATGCAAAAATAAGAAGCGAAAAAAAAATATATATATTTAGGAGTGAATACTGATTTGCTATTTATATGCTGATAAGATTGCTTCAATATTAGCATTCGTATTCAGCATGAATATAAAGATTTAAAGTGAATAGGGACGTATGCCTTGTCGTATCAATTAGGGTGTAATTTTGTGCAATATCAGTATATTCATTCATCATCCATCATCCATCTTACCTAGACTCAGGTATAGGTTTGTATGAGCGTTGGATGTACCAAATCTCCAAAAACAAGTAATTATTTAACATTTTTCTTTTATTTCTAGAGTAACATAACATTTGTACGTAACACAATGTTTGAAATAGGCATTTAACTCGTTTTGAAGCAAAAATCTAATAAAATTGAATTATTTGATATGCTTTTTAAGTACATTTATAATGACTCTAACACAATGTGCCAGAAAATTTATATCCCATACCTTTGTCCGAGTGCTCTTTGTTTGACATGGATGTTACAAACTTTTGAGGAGTCCATGTAACACAGTTCATCATTACACCCAAAATCTTTATTTGGATGTGCTTACATTTGGTCCGACATGTTAGAATTTGACTAAACCAACTCCCATAATTGTTTGTTGATGATAATGGAGGGGTGGTGTTACCCAATCCACCAAATCCAGAGGATATAAATGAAGTAAAACTCTATGCTTTCTATATTACCTAGTTAATTGGCAAAAGAAAAGATATATGAAAAAGAAATTGTGATTTAAAGAGAACATACTGCCATCAGTAGAATAAGAGTTGCAGCAGGGGGGAAGACAAGCCGTAGTCCATCCATAGGGTGCTTATGATGGCACCCGTGAAGAAGATAATGCATGGTGTTTCCCCTGCAGCATGTAGTCAAAACTAGCACAATCATAATGCTACTAATTTGATTGATAAGCAGCTGAGCAGAGAACAACTGTCGAAATAAAAAAGAAAAGAATTGAAAGAAAAAAAGAGAGGAAAGAGATAATAGAACTGACCAATAAGTTTTTGTTTTGATATGAAAAAGAAAGCGGTGCAAGGAGTATTCCAACAATGTCCACACAAAGATGCCACAAACCATTGTTACTGCTACCTGACGAGAAGGAAACCCCATCTGGACAGCAGTAGAAACAAACCAGCACACAACTGGCAGCCAAATGAGTGGAACTGCCCACCATACTGTGAGGGTCAAGAACTGTTTCACATTGCAAAGAAGTAAAAAATGTAGCCATATACACACACAAAATTTATCAAGGATACAATGTCAAACGTTAAACTTCCTTGCATTTTCATAAGAAACGTGGATATACTGTGTTGTAGGCATAAGGTTGGATCATGGAATTAAAGCAAAGTAATTTTCAAGCGAGACTGAAGACAGGATGATCAACTAAACTACGTTACATGGAGGGAAAAAAATCTGCTGAAAAAGTGCTGGTCAAAGAATTTAATAATTAAACAAGAAAGGAAATCTACATGCATGGAAATATAACTACTTAATACCTACAAAAAGATAAATTGAAAAATCGACATGATTTTCCCGCTTCTAGAAACAATCGTGAAGTATGTGCAACGCAAAAATGACACTACACCAATTTATCATGTAGAATTCAGTATTTTAGAAATAATTCGCAATTAGTTCAAAAGAGAATTCATAAGTGTAGTAAAAACTGATGTACAAAACTTAAGTAGAAAATTTCTTCAATAATTTCCATATTACTGCCCTAAAGGTTTGGAGTATATAAGTTAATGCCAGTTATTGCATATCAGTGTACAATGATATATAACAAGAATCCAAGTAATACCTCCAGAACATCACTTGCAAAAAATCGAGGGCTTTCCTTGGTGACAATAGGCCGGTGAACCCATTCCTCATAAGCTTCTCCAAGATGGCCAACCTGTAGGAAATTCAGCGTATAACAAGTCAAATAGGCTACAGGCTGGAAGAAATTTGAACTACAAATGCTCAAAATATCATAATAAACAAGGCATAGTAAAAAATAGTACGAGAAGGGAAAATAAAATATAGAGGAACATTGTTGATGAAAAGACTACATTTTCATGTCGTCTGTGTGTTGAAGAGGAATGACATGTGCACAACTAACTGTCCAAGTGTACTAACATTTCAAAGGAGTAGTGTCTGTGTTAGACATTTGTAAGACATCGACACTTTTTGAACATGTCTGACACATTTTAAACATGCATATAATCTAATAAATTTTTTATGCGAACAAATACTTACCACTTTTCAAAAACTAGTTGAATGTGACAAATGAATCTTGTATATTGGATAAAACCTTCTTTATATATATATGTGTGTGTGTGTGTAATAAATAAAGAAAATTTGTTAAAATATTAAAACTAAAGGTTTGCATAAATTTTTAAGAAGCTAGAACATATTGAAACAGAAGTCGTAAAAAGATTTTAATGTAATTAATGAGCAAGAGAAAGGAAGAGGACAGAGTAGTCATCAAATGAGTATATACACATATATACATATCTACATGTATATATACAGTATACATATCTATGTGTATATATGCAAATAAGCAAAAACAAATATGTTGTTTCATTGTTAGGAGTTTCTCTACATTAGGAAGGATGATATTATGATTATATAATTTATAAGTTAAAAATGTATCTAGTTGTCATGAAACAGTATTTATTGTATATGATATAAATAATATATTTTATTATCATGTACTAGCAGTGTTCATGTCTTGTCGTGTCCGTATCTTATATATGCATCAATATTTTCAAATTAACTAAAAGACGAAGTACGGTAGTTAAACCTAATATAGGGAGGCTAAAATTCATAATTGTAACTGATATAGTGATATAGCCAACAGAAACTTTCAAGTACTTGCGGTATACGCATATGGTGAGGATTAGACTACTTGTGTGTATCAAATTATTAGTGAAAAAGCAAAAGCTACATGAAGGTTAAAAAAGTATATTGAATATTGATATATAACTAAATTTGCTGAAAGTAAACAATTAAGTTAAAAAGCTACAAAATCAGACCTGGGAAACGAGTGGCTTGTTCAAGTCCACAACAAAGCCCCCAGTGACCATCCTGGCTCCTTTTGTTGCACCTGGAGGCAAATTAAAAGACTGGTTTTCATTATTGAAAGTATTGAATATGATAACAATGAGACTCTCAATGAAATAGTATAGAAATCAAGAACTACAAAATTTTGAAAACACAAACATTTTTTAATTTTGTTTTAGTCTCTGCTTAACCTATTCTTCAAAATCCATAATTATTTTAAGGGTAAATTACAATGACATCCTTTGAGGCTTGATCTAATTACAAGTAAACCGAACGTTTGCCATTTTTTTTTTTTTTTTGCAAAGACCCCTTCGGATGATTTGGAGTATTTAAACAATAAAAAAATCTGATTTATAAAATGACATATTTACCCAATAGAATATTTACTTCTTTTATCTCTATTATTTCCCTCTCCTCTCCACCTCCTACCACAACCGCTCACAACCACGACCACCACCTTTGTGTGTATATATAATATACAGTCGCCATCAACAAAGGTCTCTCACTCTCATCTCTCTTCTTCTTCAATTTCTGAACTTATCGGGAGCAAGGATGAACTCACAAACCCATGAAAAGACCTTGATCGAACCCACAAACAGACTCCACAAATCGTCTGGTATGGCTTAATTGCTGGAAGTTTTCTATTGTTAGCAACATTTCTAAAAGACATTTTTCAGAAATCACCCGCCAAATGTGTTTTCTTCCTCTTTTTATTTTTTCGGTTCTGTAAACATAAAACCCTTTTCTTTTAAAATGATACCGAATGGGCATTGGTTTGAGTCCAGAGCAAATTTATTAGACATGAAGAATTTGAATTTCAATGTCCTTCATTTAACCATAGCCTACAATTTTAAAATTGAATATTCTCTAAGAAAGTACTTTGCAATTATTTTATTTCAAGATAAAAAATATATATATAAATAAATAAATAAAGAATCTGGATCCGTTTGGGATTGTTTTCAAAATTCATTTTAACTTTTTATAAATTTTGAAGATAAAAAGAAGAAGAAAATAAAAGGAAAAAAAATAATAAAAAAATAATTGTTTCCAGTTTGTAATTTCACATGTTATGAAATGCAAGAAAAATAATTTAACCCACTTTCAGAAGTTAACCCAAACGCCTGCCAAGCCCATTTTTCACGTTATTTCCATATGAAAACGGTTTCTGAAAGCAATACAAAATAGGCCCTATAATTGATTAGGGTTTATAGAAATTATCAGCCACAGAGAGTTTTTGAATTTGAACAGAATTGAGCAAAACATGGGTACTGAGAATAGACATTAAAATTGAATGTTTTAATTCACAACAACTGGATTTTGCAATAAATTTAACTTGGATTTTAAAGTGAAAAAAACAGATACAACATGAAATCATCAAACGTACAAAACAAAGAAACAAATTGAAAAACAAATGGTTAATCAGTGAATATACCAGCAGCCTAAGGACAATGGCGGACTGATCTTCTAGGGTTCTGAAAACCCCCAACTTCGTTTCTCTCTCTAACTTTCTGGTCCAAATGAAGGAATGTTGGTTGTTCACGAGTTGTGACATATTTAGCTTCGATGTATAGGTTTGGAGGGAAGGAAGAGAGAGAAAATGAACCGGTAAGGCAAATATGCTATATATACACCTATATACAGTAGACTTGAGTTGGCAAAAAGCTAAAATAAACTTCCTAACAAAATAAATATATAAATGTGAAGCTAAAATGGGATTGAAATTATAGGTACACCTCACAATAATATGAACTTTGAATTACGTATTAAATTCCCAAAATGGATGTAACGAGCGAGTTGACTTCAAGTCTTTTTTTTTTTTCAAAAAAAAAGAGGATAAATTACATGGGCCTCCTTTATGATATGCCATAATTACAGGCACTTCTCCTATTATTTGAAAAATTACTCGGGCCTCACCTAAAAAGAAAACTAATCTACATGGATCTCGTTACTGTTACTGTCAACGCAAGTCAATTCTAAATAAATTCTGTTACTGTCAACGCAAGTCAATTCTAAATAAATTAGACAAATCTGTTAATGTAATGTAATGTACTGAATAAATTAAAATTTCCATATTAGTGTTCGTCCATTTCAATTCTCTTACACATACAGATAGTACTACAGTTATTTACCATAACAACTTAAGGGCATTTCAGTAAATTAGACAAATTTGTTAGTGCAATTGACAAGTCCGTCACTAAAAGGATGTCTATGTAGGTTAGTTTCATTTTTAAGTAAGGTTCGAGTAATTTCTCAAGCCACATAAGAGGTCCCTGTAATTATGACAAACCATAGGAGAGGTCTGTGTAATTTATCCTTCTTCTTTTTTAATCCTAGCAAATTTAAAAAAAAAAAATGTACTCGAACACCGGCACAATCGCTCGAAAAGTTGGGTGTTCTACTAACAAAGCCACCGAGTAATGCCCAATAGGGACGGAGGCAGTATAGGACTGGGGACACGTGCCCTCTGGATTTTTTCTTTCCCTTATTTTTTATATATAATTTTTTATGATATGCATACATTTTTTGAAAATTTGTAAAAATGCCCTCCCTGAAATTTCTCTTTCCCTTGCATACAATATATGGTTCCTTATATTTTTTGTTCTTAAGTTGTTCCATTATATTTTATAGGGAGACGATATCGTAATCCAACATTTGTACTATAATCTTAAATAAAATGGCAATTATAATCCTAACTTTACAAATAAATAATTATTACTTTTTAAATGACAAAACTGACCTTTTAGATTTCTTCTCCTTATCTCTAATCTTTTATTATTTAAGGTCTCTTTTGACAAGACAAAAAATAAATTGAATAATATTTTTTTGTACAGGACTTAAAAATAAAAATTTATGTTGAATAAATTGACTATTTTGACCAGACCAAAAAAAATAAAAAGTAACCATTAAAAATGTAACGTTACCGATTTTTTCTATTTTCTGGAATTTAATTGATTTTCTGGATTATTTTAATCATTTCCTCACTTGGCGTGCCATGCAGGCCCCGAAGGGCATTTTGGTCATTTTGAGTCGAGGGTTTTAGAAGTGTGTTTTATTTGTTATTCTAAGTTAATTAGAAATGACAGTTTCATTTTTAGAATTTTTCAGTAGTCTGGATGATTTCCGGACTCGGGAACTTCTCCCGGTTTTCTCATCTTAAAGGAGGGGCGTCATCAGCATTTCACATGTGTGTGTTTGTGTTTAAATTCATGTATGTATGTTGTATTAGTGGTAATAATGGAGGGTGATATTTTATGGCATTGTTGAGGTCGTAAAGAAGTTTAAGGAGCATCTTTGTCATTTTAGTCTTATGGACCAACCTAGAATGTTCTAGAGACCAAAAAGGATAGCTTCAATTTTTGACCCATTCTTTTCTTTTCCTTCGGCAGATATGTTCTTCCTCTCTCTATTTTCTCTCTCTATATTACTTTCTTCCTTCTCTCTAGAATTTCTTCATGCTAGAAGAATATTTGGTTTAAGCCGGAGTAGCAAATTATAGATCATTACAAGGGCTACATTTTGGTACTGGTATTGTAAGCTTTTGTTGGGATTTGAGTTTGGAGCTTGGAGCTTAGAGCTTAGAGCTTGGGTTGCTATCTTGAGGTAGGGGAAGTCTAAACTACGAATTCCTATGGTTTTAGTGAATTTCATATGTGTTCTTTACATGTAAATCTTGTTGGTGTGAGCATATTTAGTTTTGTCAAGTATTAAGTTATGAAGCATGATTTATTCTTGATCTACATGATTGGTAATGAAATGGTTTGCGAATTTGTGAAATTCATGTAAGATGTTGTGACTGGTATTCCCATGATCCCTTTTCGTGATCTCCTGTTCTTTGGTTGTGGCGCACGGGATTTTTAGGAATGTACTTTAGACTTTTTCTACTGAGCTGTTGAGCTCACCCTATTATCATTAACATTTTTTAGGAATTCGGAGACAAGCTGGTAAATGATGTGCATCATAGACATTGATATAGTTAGGAATTCATTTCATTTTATTTATTTTAAAGCTATGTAAATTTTGGCCAGGGAGGCCTCATCCTTGTATTTAATTCTTTTCAATTGTATAAAATGAGACTATATAATTATTTCATGATGAATGGGTAATGGAGTTATGTTTTGATCAATCATTGATGCCTTTGAATTATATTATGTCATGTTTTATAGACGTGAATCTGGGTTTGGCTGCACATCAGGTTGTTTATCAAGTTCGGCTCATTAGGAGTCCAGGGTTATAGACTATCAGGCCGCATATAGCAGCCATCCGAGGGCTGAACCTTTCCATCAGTAAAGGGTTGAACCTTTCCATCAGCCGAGGGCTGAACCTTTCTTTTAGAACGGCTGAGGGCCGAACCTATCACGTCCCGTAAATTCTTATAAAATGCTCTGATACCATTTTGTCACGACCTGAAAATTCTAATAAATCCTCAATTTATACAAATCAAAATATATCAAAATACATCAAGATCATAAAAAAGATGCCCTCTTTTATACAAAGTCAATTTCCTCAAATATACAAAAATTCTCTAAATAATTAAATTAAATCCTACAACGCCGACTCTTCATCCTAAGCCCGAATCTAGCAATCCCCGTTCATCTTCGATACTTGAAACTGGAGAGTGGTAAGATAAAAGTCCCAGTAGGAAAAACCATAACAAGAATTTCATGGAGGTTTAACAAAACAGCTTCACAAAATAAACATATTCAGGTGAGTATATAAACAAAATACATATGCATTTAATTAAAACATTTAATAAAAACATTTAATTAAAACCATTAAAGTAAAACCACCCCATACCATTCAAGGTATAGAGAACCCTACACTGAAAAAAAAAAAAAAAAATTCCTCACTGGATCATCAAAACATCAAGCCTTCGTCCTCCTCTGTAACTTTCGACTCCCTCTCTGTGCACTCCTCAGTCTCTCTCTATCCTCAAACTCGGCCCTCTCTCTGTTCACACACTCTAATTTTTCTCTTATATTCTATCTCATCTTTATTCAGTGGCACAAACACACACTTAAAATCATAAAATAAAATAAATCATAAAATAATTAAATTAAAATCTTAAAAATTCGGGTCATCGCAGAACCTTTCATTCAGAACGGCTGAGAGCCGAACCTTCATTCAGAACGGTTGAGGGCCGATCCTTTCTTTCGGTCGATCGAACCATTTGAGGTCAGAATGATCGAACCATCTGAGGTCAGAATGACCGAACCATGTAGGTCAGAACGACCGATCTTGTATGTCAGACCGACCGACCATGTGCTGAACGGTTACGCTCTGTTAGCTGAACCTTTCTCTTTGACTTGTGCATTTGACCCTCTCTGTAAGGTTGTCTTAGAGTATATTGGGCTATGGATTGACTTGTCTGACAGTAATAGACACAGGAAATAGATGGTATGACTTAGTTCACCTCGGGTTCGGGTAAGGACCCGGTTAACTGTCCGGACCCCCGGGTTCGGGTCGTTACAAAAAAAAATTTATTTCTTTTGACATTAAAAAAAAAAAACCCCAAAAAAAAATTTATTGAAGAAATTATATTTTTTTTTCAAAATCCCCAAAAGAAAAAAAAAAAAAAAAAAAAAAAGAAGGTATGCAAAGAAGAGGATTATATATATATATATATATATAATCTACTATGAATAAATTATCTCTTTTGATAAGACCCCCCAAAAAAGAAATGTTATTTTTATCTAATAAATTATTACTTTTGACAAAACCCATAAAAAATTATGAAAAAAAAAAAGTTATCTCTTTTAACCGAAAAAAGTTAAACTTTGTTGAATAATATCCCTTTCAATTGTACCTAAAAAAAAAAAAAAAAGTCATTATAAAATAAATTATTTCTTTTGACTGTCAAAAATTAAATTTTTAGTATGGAATAAATTATTTTCTTTGAGAGGACCTCTAGAAAAAACGAATAGAAAGGAAAAAAATAATAAATAAAGTACAAAAAGTAATTGTAACGACCCGAACCCAAGGGTCCGAATCGCTAACCGGGTCCTTACCCGAACCCGAGGTCAACTAATGACATTACTGTCCATACATGATATACATGTCATCCCAGGGTTTATAAAATAATAATAATAATAATAAAATAAGATCAAAGCTACAAAAGATGTCAAAACAGTATACTAACACATCTCAACTTGTGGAAAAAAAATGTCAACCGATCTGCCACTTCCTTCCTATGATCTGAAAAAAAATGTTAAAATAATGGGGTGAGCATAAGCTCAGTAGAAAGTGTCTAAGACATACCTCTTATGACCCCGTGAAATCCGCATAAGGAAGAGGTAAAAAGAACGGGATCATACCATAGGGAAGCACATATTCTCAACCACAACAACAAGAATATTGCAAATGTCAACCGATCGCAGATTTACTACAATGCCATGAAGTGCAATGTTATGCAAATGCCACTCCCCATTTCCGAAACAATTCCGTTTCAACAACCAAACCGTTAGTGTAATCCGACCCAAGACACCTCTATGGCGTCACGAAAAGGGGATTGACTAACTATCCGCGACCACAAGGCATCTCCAAGGCGTCGCATCCGGCCTAGTTAGCTCAACCACAGTCCCTTCTAGACTATACTAACATCACGGACC